GAGCTGTATTCCAGGATGCAGATGGGCTGCCCACCAGATGGGTTCTCCAGGGTCTGAACCTTGCTGACTCAGGTCTGCCAAGGGATGCTCTGCTGGCTGCCGGCTGGGACAGCTGGGGTCTGGTTCCCACAGTATGGTGGTGGTGACCCAGCAGAAGGCCTCTCAGAGCCTGGCCTTTGAAGTCAGCCATGCAGCAGGGCAGTGCCAAAAGCCCAATAGCTTCAGGAGAGGGCAGCACAGTCCACCTGTCCGTAGACTAGAGGATTCTAGAAGAAACACTCCTGTCCCCAGATTTGGAAAACTCCAGCCTCTTTGAATATACTTCTAGAATATGAGTTGCTTTGCATGGGGCTCACATGTTTTTATTTTTTAATTGAGATTTGATAATTCCTGAGAAATTGCACAAATTCTCTCCCAGCATCATATGGAGGAATATATATATGTATATATATATATGTTATACACACACATATACACATAAAGATTAATTGACATAAAGTTGAGTGATTGTCTTTCCCCATGGATAGTATTCTTCATCATGTGGCCACTAGAGGACAGTGGTTCTCCATGGAAACACAAGGAGGCCCTCCCTGACCTGTTTGATGGAATCTCAGTGACATTTCAAATAGGGATGGGAATGGGGTAGCTCCTGAGGTGAACTCAATACAACAGGATTGGACAGAGCTTCACTCCTCACATGGATGTCCTTGATAGGCTGTTGAGATAAAATCAGAGGTTGTAGCTTTCCATTGATTTCATTCTCTGCAGAGCAGGTGCCCATGTCTGTGTGAAAGGAGCCCCCCTCCTGCAGAAGCATGGGCCACATCAGGACTGACAGTTGCTTTTCTGGGGCTCAGAGGGTGGTGGGGTAATTGATGGAAGTTCTTCAAAGGCAGATTTCCAGATAGCTTTACCTTTACCTCGGAATGCTGAGATTTGTCCCATGTTCAAGGAGAACCAAGCCTCTTGTGTAGTCTGGGTGGCCCTGCATGTCAGCCCCATCCAAATCTGTGTTCACATGGAGATGATGTTCACTTAAAAAAGGGTGGGTCTGAGACTTCAGCCCAGATCATGATCTGATCGCTCCTCTTTTGTCCAGGTATCCAGGGGAGCCTGGTGTGCATCTCAGGGGTAATGTTGGGAGCTTCTTGGCCCAGGAATCCACCAGTCAGACCCAGTTGTGTCCTGAAACCTCATGTAGCTGGAGAATTTTTCTCCAGCTCCCACCACCAAGTCCTGCCAGTCCCAGAGTCCACTTATAAAATAAACACACAGACTCTTACATTATTTAAACTGCTTGGCCATTAGCTCAGGCCTATCATTGTCTAGCTCTCACTCTTATATTCAGCCCATTTCTATTAATCTTTACTTTGCCACGCAGCTCGTGGCTTACCGGTACTTTACATCTTCCTTGTCTTGGTGGCGGCTCCAGCCAGTCTCCCTTTCCTTCCTCCTTCCTCCATTCTCCTCTCTCCTTGTCCTGCCTATACTTCCTGCCTGGTCACTGGCCAATCAGTGCTTTATTTATATCAAGTGATATCCACAGCAACCTCAACTCCTCAAAATTCTGCTCCTGTTTCCCAGACATGCACCTGATGGCTATTCATAGCATAACATACAGGCAGAGATGCTCAGGTGTGTGTGGGGGATTGTTAGGGTCAGAGCCTGGGTCCTGGGACCTCTAAAATCTTAGACTTTGGCCATCATCCTCTATAAAGTTGTCTGGTAGACAACGTTAAGAGCAGAGAAATACTAGGTATGGTGGTGCATGCCTTTTCCCCCAGCATTCTTAGGCAGTGGCAGGTTGATGTCTGTGAGTTTAAAGGCCAGCCTGGCCTATCTACATAGTGAGTTCCCAGACTACATGAAAGAGACACCCTGTTTCAAAACCAAACCCAAACAAGTAAACAAACAACAAAATTGCAGAGAAAGGAGATTTAGTTCAAATAGCCACATTGGGAATAGAAACAAATAAATAATGGGGTCCAGGGACACCCCACTCCTTATTCAGGGTCCTGACATGAGAGTTAGTTTTAAATGTGAAGCAAGAAGGATGCAAAACTAAGCAGTCCTGATGAAGGTGTGGTCGTGCCCACCGCTGAGCCATGGCTCCCTGTGTCCCAGTGTCTCCTGCAGAGTGATCTGATACGAGACCAGAACTCTCTGAATCTTTTGGGGAGCCACATTTTTCCTCAGACACCATAGACAGAGCAAACAAAATATTCTATGATAAAACCAGATTTAAACAATACCTATCCACAAATCCAGCCCTACAGAAAACACTAGAAGGAAAAATCCAACCTAAGGAAGTTAGATGAACCCATAAAAACACAGGCAATAGATAATCCCACACCAACGAATACCAGAGAAGGGAAACACACAACACCACCACCAAAAAATAACAGGAATTAACAATCACTGGTCATTAATATCCCTTAATATCAATGGAATCATTTTGCCTATAAAAAGACGCAGGCTAACAGAATGGATACAAAAACAGGATCCATCCTTCTGCTGTATACAAGAAACAAACCTTAACTTCAAAGACAGGCACTACCTCAGAATAAAAGGCTGGGAAAAGGCTTTTCAATCAAATGGACTCAAGAAGCAAGCTGGTGTAGCTATCCTAATATCTAACAAAACAGACTTCAAGCTAAAAATCAAAAGAGATCAAGAAGGACATTGCATATTCATCACAGGAAAAATCCATCAAGATAAAGTCTCAATTGTGAACATTTATGCCCCCCAAACAAAGGCACCTACATTTGTAAAAGAAACATTACTAAAGCTTAAATCACACATCAAATACCACACACTAGTAGTGGGAAACTTCAACACCCCACTCTTACGAATGGACAGGTCTGCCAGACAAAATTTAACAGAGAAATCAGGAATCTAACAGATGTTATGACTCAAATGGACTTAATAGATATTTACAGAATATTCCACCGTAACACAAAAGAATATACCTTCTTCTCAGCACCCCATGGAACCTTCTCCAAAATCGACCACATACTCAGTCACAAAGCAAATCTCAACAGACATGAAAAAATTGGAATAATCTCCTATATCCTATCGGACCATCATGGTTTAAAGTTAGATTTCAACAACAACAAAAATTACAGAAAGCCTACAATCTCATGGAAACTGAATAATGCTCATCTAAATCACCACTGGATCAAGGAAGAAATAAAGAAAGAAATTAAAGACTTCCTAGAATTCAATGAAAATGAATGTGCAACATACCCAAACTTGTGGGACACTATGAAAGCAGTGCTAAGAGGAAAATTCATAGCACTAAATGCACACATGAAGTTGGAGAAATCTCACACTAGTGACTTAACAGCACACCTGAAAGCTCTAGAACAAAAAGAAGCAAACTCACACAGGAGGAATAGACGTTAGGAAATTATCAAAGTGAGAGCTGAAATCAACAATATAGAAACAAAGAGAACAATACAAAGAATCAATGAAACAAAGAGTTGGTACTTTGAGAAAATCAACAAGAGAGACAAGCCCTAATCCAAATTAACCAAAAAGCAGAGAGCGAACATCCAAATTTAAAAATCAAAAACAAGCCGGGCGGTGGTGGCGCACGCCTTTAATCCAAGCACTCGGGAGGCAGAGCCAGGCGGATCTCTGTGAGTTCGAGGCCAGCCTGGGCTACCAAGTGAGTTCCAGGAAAGGCGCAAAGCTACACAGAGAAACCCTGTCTCAAAAAACAAACAAACAAAAAAATCAAAAACAAAAAGGGAGAACAAACAACAGACAATAAGGAAATCCAGAGAATCATCAGGTCATACGTCAAAAACTTGTACTCCACAAAATTGGAATATACAAAAGAAATGGACAATTTTCTGAATCAGTATCATATATCAAAGTTAAATCAAGACCAGACAAACAACTTAAATAGACCAATAACTCCTAAGGAAATAGAAACAGTCATCAAAAGTCTCCCAACCAAAACAGGCCCAGAACCAGATGGCTTCAGGGCAGAACTCTGCCAGATTTTCAAAAAGAACTAATACCAATATTGTTCAAGTTGTTCTATACAATAGAAACAAAAGGAACATTATCAAACTCTTTTTAGGAGGCTACAGTTACCCTGATAATCAAACCACACGCAGATGCAACAAAAAAAGAGAATTACAGACCAATCTCCCTCATGAACATTGATGCAAATATACTCAATAAAATACTGGCAAACTGAATCCAGGAACACATCAAAAAAATTATCCACCAAGACCAAGTATGCTTCATCCCAGAGATGCATGGATGGTTCAACATATAAAAATCTGTCAATATAATACACCATATAAACAAACTAAAAGAAAAAAAAACACATGATCATCTCATTGGATGCTGAAAAGGCCTTTGACAGAATCCAACACCCCTTCATGATAAATGTCCTGGAGAGTACAAGGATACAAGGAACATACCTAAATATAATAAAGGCAATTTACAGCAAACCAACAGCCAGCTTCAAATTAAATGGAGAGAAACCCAAAGCAATTCCATTAAAATCAAGAACAAGACAAGGCTGTCAACTCTCTTCATGTCTATTCAACATAGTACTTGAAGTTCTAGCTACAGCAGTAAGGCAACAAAAGGAGATCAAGGGGATACAAATTGGAAAGGAAGAAGTCAAACTTTCACTATTTGCAGATGATATGATAGTATACATAAGTGACCCCAAAAACTCTACCAGGGAACTCCTACAGCTGATCAACAACTTTAGTAAAGTGGCAGGATATAAGGTTAACTAAAAAAAATCAGTAGCCCTCCTATATATAAATAATAAACAAGCTGAGAAAATTCAGAGAAACGTCACCCTTTACAATAGCCACAAATAATATAAAATACCTCGGGTAACACTAACTAAGCAAGTAAAAGACCTGTATGATAAGAACTTTAAGTCTATGAAGAAAGAAATTGAAGAAGATATCAGAAAATAGAAAGATCTCCCATGCTCATGGATAGGTAGGATCAACATACTATAAGTGGCAATCTTACCAAAAGCAATCTACAGATTCAATGCAATCCCCATCAAAATCCCAACACAATTCTTTACAGACCTGGAAAAATCAATACTCAACTTCATATGGAAAAACAAAAAACCTAGGAGAGCTAAAACAATCCTGTACAATAAAGCAACCTCTGAAGGCATCACCATCCCTGACCTCAAGCTCTACTATAGAGCTATAGTAATAAAAACAGTTTGATACTGGCAAAAAAACTGACATGTGGACCAATGGAATCGAATTGAAGATTCTGACATTAATCTAAACACCTATGAACAACTGATTTTTTACAAAGAAGCCAAAACTGCACAATGGAAAAAAGAAAGATTCTTCAACAAATGGTGCTGGCATAACTGGATGCCAACATGTAGAAGATTGCAAATAGATCCATCTCTATCACCACGCACAAAACTCAAATCTTCGTGGATCAAAGACCTCAGTATAAATCCAGATACACTGAACTTGATAGAAGAGAAAGCAGGAAGTAGTCTTGAACACATTGGCAGAGGAGACTACTTCCTAAAATAACACCAGTAGCGGTCTCATACAGAACTGAAAATGGGTAGTGTTCACCCTTTGTCTTCCCCAGAGAACCATGTGATCCCTGAGAAGTCATCAATACAAGGTGGAGTCAGAACCTTCAGTTGTGTCTACATGTGAGTCAGGGTACCAGAGAGGTGTCCAGGACTGGCTCAGTGATGGCTGCAGAAAGGACAGGGTACCTGAGGGTGAAGACAGATCCCCAGTTGCTCCTTAGTGATTGGGGAACACTTGCCTGGTATAAAGTACAAGGTGTGTTAGTGTGGGAAATAAAGTCCCAAGGCCTCTTACCCACTCAGTTGCTCCTGGCATCGGCTGCTATGAAACCTTTACCTTCATCCAATCTCCCCACTCCGCTGAGCTTTCATCCCCATGGAGTTCTCATGGTAAGGATTCCATCTGTCTCTTTCTGGTGGGCAATGAACCAGCAATGAACAGACCCCATAGTCATGAGTGCCATGCCACTTGCCCTTTGGCCTTGGTCTTTAACTTCATTCTTACAATCCCTGGAGGATCAACATCATTTGGGTGTTACTGTCTATATGAGATCTTGGTCATTAACGTGTGACACTGAGTGACTACAGTATGATTTAAAACCAAGGTGGGAAGGGAGGTATGCTGTGGCCAAGACACAGCTGAAGGTCAATGGTCATGGCATTCCACATTGCTTTACTGGGGTTTGCATCACTGTGGAGCTGTCCTCCTTAAGTCTCACCAGGTGGTTTCCATAACCCATTGCTCTCAGTGTGGTTTAACTTTCCTGGGGACCCAGAAATAGGCAAGCTGGGGAGTAAGGTGCTGGGTGAGATCAGGAAAGACATGCATAATACATGCATGTTATTACAAACCTTAAACATTGAGGGCATTACTCATGGGCAGTTTCCTTCCACCAATGAAGCATCAGTCCTTCCTTGACATGGTCCCTGCCATGTGGGTTATCCTAATCACCACCCAGGACTGGATCTGCCAGATCTTCAAAAGTGCTCACACCCCACACCCCGCAAAAGTATCTGCTCAACGACACCAATATATTCCTAGAGTTATAGCCATGTTTTCTTGTCCATCTACAGACCTCATCTCATTTCAGTGTCCTCTACATTTCTGTGAGTCAAGACTTGTCCAATTAGGATTGTACTTAGCAGTATGTGTTGAGAAGCAGAGTGGTGCACAGCAGGGACTCACAAATAGGTTCCCAAGAGCCTGAGAGACAGCCCCACTACCATTGTTAGGAATCCCACAAGTAGACCAAGCTACACAAATGTCAGAGTATGTAGAGGGCCTAAGTCAGTCCTGTGCAGGCTCTCTGGTTGGTGGTTCATATTCTGTGAGTTTCTATGAGCCAGGTTGGTTGTTTCTGTTATCTTGTGATGTTCTTGACCCCTCTGACTCCCACAATCCTTCCTCCCTCTCTTCAGCAGGATTATCTGAACCCAAAGAGGCTTAATGTTTTGCTGTGGGTCTCTGCATCTATTTCCATTAGTTATTGAATGAAGACTCTCTGATGACAATTAGGGTAGCCAACAATCTGATCACAGGAGATGGCCAGTTCAGGCTGTGTATCCTTTATTACCAGATGTCTTCGCCGGGTTTATCTTTGTAGATTTTGGGGAGTTCCCGTTGCATTATGTTCTACATGACCCCATTATGCTCCTCTCTTCCAGTCACCTCTTTCAGTAGAGTACCCCTTCATACACCTCCCAACCCAAATCCTCATGCTCCCATCCTCACCTGCCCCCAGGACATATTCTTTTATTTCCCCCTCCCAGGGAGATCCATGCATCTGCCATTGGGCTTCCCTTGTTACCAAACCTTGAAGTTGGTTAAGTCTCTCTGCTTTGGGATTGGTCATTTTGGGAGGAGTTATGTTGTCCTGGGTTTTTCAAGTTATTTCAGTTTTTGTCACTGGCCTTGCTCATCTGGATTTAGTTTGTTACTTGAGTGTTTCTGTTTCCTTTGTGTCGGGGAGTGTTTGGATCGATCCTTGGTGTTTCGAGTTTGGCAGTGCTAGGCTCCTCTGTGTTCTGCTTGAGCTCAGGGTTGGAGACACACAGTGCTGGTTTTTAGGCGGGAGAACTTCCTGATACTGGATGATCTAGGAGTGGTATCCCTTCTGACCTCACCAACCAGAATGCAGGAACTGAGATGAGATGTGTGCTGGGGCAGGATTCAGAATGTCCCACATTCTCTGATCTCATGAGCCAGGTTAGGTGTCTTACAATGGTTGTGTGTGCTGGTCACGATGTGCTAACATGTATTCTGACCTCATGAGCCATGTTCCACATAGTGCAGTGATTCTATGATTAACTTCATTAAAATAACCTCACCCCATGGATTTGTATTGTCCTGGACCTTGATTTGTTTTCTCCCTCATATCTAGTCAACCTTAAACTTCTATTTGTTCATATAGGTTTATATTACATTTTTAAAGTCAGTAGATGAAGTCTGGAGGATTATGAATTGAGGCCAGTCCTGGGATACTGTGCTAGTATACTTCGTATTGTTGATAGACAGGTCCTGACATAACCCAATGTGGTAGAAAGAGTTTATTTGTCTCCCATGTCCTGGTCAATGTCCATCATTAGGGAAGGTTTCGTAGGAACTCTAGCAGACTCAGAGGACAGCCCTTTCCTGACTTTCTCTTCACAGCTTCTTCAGTTTGCTTTCATACACGATTCAGGAACAATATACAGGCAGAGTAGCACCCACAGTCAACCTGGATCTCCCACATTAGGCATTAATAATGAAGTGGTCCTGTAAACTGCATGCAGCTGCAAAATCACAGGCCTAGTTTCAGACACTCAACACAGTAATCCTCTTTGTTTTTAAGCCATCTGTGTATTGGATGGTTGTGGACAAGATGATATTGATTGAGAGAACCCAGATCCAGAAAGACAAATGCCAGAGATCATCTCCATCAGCTGTTTCTGAATCACAAACTTCTGAAGTGAGTATAAAATATGGAAGTACAGAGAGAGGAAGGGATACCAAAAGTATCTGACACTAGCTTTCTGTGTCTAGCTTTGGCTGTATGTATGTTTCTCTTACAGAGCTTGATACCATGCCCTTCTAGAGATCTTCCTGAGATCCTCCTAGGAAGATTGTACCCAGCAGGAGTAGAAATCTAGCCCCATGTGTGTATGTGGGGCTTTTGCTGTGTAGAGGAAATGTCTAGAAGTAACAGACACATAGTTGTATATGTGTATAAGAGATGGGCTAGATGTAAGGTTTTACCTTGCAGGGCCTGCACATACATTTTGTGTGTGCATGTGTTTGTGTGTGTTTTTTGTGTGTGTATTTGTGTGTGTATGAGAGAGAGAGAGAGAGACAGAAACAGAGAGAGGAGTAGGGAGAGAGAAAGTAAGGAGAGGAGAGGAGAGCAGAGGAGAGGAGAGCAGAGGTGACAGAGAGATTGGCAGTAGGTAATGGACACCTAGCAGCAGAAGCACCTTGTTGGCTGTGTGTAAATAGGGCTTTGGCTCTATGTGGGACACCTCACAGGACCTAACACCTAGAGATGTGTGTTTGTTTGTTGTATGGGTGATACCTCTACCTCACAGGACTTAACACCTAGAAGTGTATGTGGGGCTTTCCTTGTATGGTGGTTGTGTTCTAGGACCTGAGAGCTAGCTGAGATTGCATTGAATTCGTGAAGGCATTTGTAGGAGCATGTGTGCCTAAGTGTGTTTCTGAGGGTGTGACTATGTACCTAGCATTTGATTATAGGGGAGGGGGTGCACACTGGTAAACTAGCTGTGTAAGAGTATTGCACTGTGAATATAGGAAAAGAGGTATGTATCAGGACCAGACACCTAGCCCTGAGTAGACAGCTTTATCTGTTGTGGAGTGGGAACAGCAGGACCTGACCTCAGACTCTGTATCTCTCTGTCTGTCTGTCTCTGTCTCTCCCTGTCTTTGTCTCTGTCTCTCTGTCTCTCTCTGTGTATGTGTTTGGCTGCAGGGGATGGACACCCAGAAGGGCAGCACTTTGATGGTTGTGTATAAATAGGGCTTTGTCTGAATGGGGGAGACTTTGTTGAAGTGATGGCTAGATGAGAGTGCATGAGTGCATGTGTGCTGAGTGTGTGACTGTGTACCTGGTGTTTGACTATAGGGGAGGGATACCAGTACTAGAAAAGTAGCTGTGCAACTGTATGGTCCCAGGATGTGACACCTAGCTCTGGGTGTGTGGTACTGCTGTAGCTGAGGTGATTCCTATCAGGAATGTGACCTAACCATGTATGTCTATGTGGTGTAAGGGAAGAGATAAACACTAGACCCTGACACTTGTGTTATACTATGTGGTAAGCTGTTTGTGGCTTCTGCGGCTGTAGGTGAGGGCATCCTTAGAAAGACCAGACACCCAGCCCTGTTCATGGGGCTTTAGCCATTGCGTTGTTGATCTCTTGGAGGACAGACTTCCCAACTGTATGAGAGGAGCATTTTCTTTAGTGGACAGTTGACCTAGCAGGACCTCACGCCTAGGCATGTGTGTTTGGCACCTGCTGTAGAAGACATTTTTCACAGTAGCACCTGACACCTAGCAATGTGCAGGTGGTTTCAATTTAAGTGTGGGGACACCTTACAGACGATGATACCTAGTGTTGTTGGCAAAGAGAAAACTTGGCTTCTTGGTACAGTAAAAATAAAGTCAAATTCCTCCCCCAGACCTGAATTCATCAGCTCCCACATTTCTTGTTTTCTACCCTATTCTCCAAAATCTCTCAAGTCTATAACTTGAAGACACTTTCTCTGATCAACTTCACTAATAATATACTGACTCTGGAGTTCTATTTTCCTAGTCACTGACTCATTTTCTCTAAGACAGCTATCTCCATGACAATGCAGCATTGTCACATTGACCATTACCACAAGTTCAGCACAAGTGCTCACACACATACACATATATATTATACACACACACACACACACACACACACACACACACACACACACACACACTTTTCCTTATAACATCTCTATCTTTAGCACTGCTCCACATATATTACTATTGAACAGGCATGGCTGGAATCTCCCCTGGTATCCTACAAAGACTGCTAAGTGTCATGTCCTAATGGATCTAGACAGCTCCCAACTGCTGCCACTCAATATACACTGTTGTGTTCATAAGACACACAGCAGAGCATCCTCCTCCCACAGAGACTCATCCCACTATCAGGAACTGCCCCCACAACAGGCCTTACTAGTTACTGCCCCCCAGGCCTGCTTCCAAACCCACCGATGTACCACTGCCCTGGTGGACACTCCTACCCCTGCCATATAGCCTGAAACACACTGTACACTTTCCTGTACACCTGCCTGAGGCCTGGATGCACTACTGGGTATTACATCCTCAGAACTCCCCAGTCCTGAACCGGATATTATGATAACAGGCCACATCTAGTAAGTTTCTCTTCCTGCATCCATCCAATGCCGCAAAAGCCCTGCTAATTTTAAAACAGCCATGCTTAAACCCATGCCCCTGTCTGGGAGTGTATGTTGTTAACAGAATGGTGCTATTTTGGGTAAGGCTTGAAGTCAATTATTGTACAAGCATACAATATACTTCAATAGACATGGCTGAAATCTGCACAGAATGGTAGCAAGAGCATGACAGCAAGAAACTTGATATGTCAGTGATGGAGGTGTTAGCAGAGCCTTTAAAATTGCAGTGTTCACTGGGCCAGTAGTAAATATCAGGGGTAAGGGTGTGTGTTAACCTTCTCTGATACCTAGCATGTCATGTGTGATGGAGCCTGTGTTCAAGTGAACCTGACACACAGCACTTTATATGCACTGTGGTTTGGACAGGGGTTAATGTCCAGCATGACCCAGTAAGCAGCAGTAGAACCTGAGACCCAGCACATGGTATAGCGTAGGAAGGAGTCCAGTAGAAGCTGATGCCTAGCAGTGTAGGTGTGTCTTAAGCAGAAGGAGGGTGTCCAGATGTGCAAATTTCTAAGTATTGTGGAAGACCTGACATGGGGAGAAGTTCCCAGAATGGTCTGATGGCTGTCGATTAATGTGGGGAATGAAGTCAAACTGGACCTGGTACCTAGAGTGGATGTGTGGTCACAGGGGTGGTGATGTGTCCAGTGTGTTTGATGATAACTGTATGTCAGAGGGGAGCAGTTGAAGAGCGGGGTGTCAAGCTCTGCACAATCCCTACTGAGTGTGTGTCAGCTTATGGCTGAGCTGATGTCCTTCAGGGTCTGATCACCCATTTTGAAGTAGGTTGGCAGTGCACGATGTGATGTCCAAATGTGCTTGACACTTCAGAGTGTGTGTGTGGCACTGAGGGAGCCAGCAGAGCCTGACACCTAGCAGTGCACATGAGGCAGCTGCAGGGCGATGTGTGCATTCCAGGGCCGTTAGCTAGCCTTGTAGGAGTTGCCATAGAGTTTCAAATGCCCAGCAGGTCTGAAATCCAACAGGGATATATGGGTTGATGGAATGTGGTATCCTGGGGGCCCTGATACTAACACTGTAGATTGTGGTGGTGGGGTGTGCTATTCAAGAGGGCCTGAACCCTAGCAATGTATGTGGAATTTCAGTGATGTTAGGGTGTCAAGTGGGGTCCAATAGTAGCAGAGTGTTTGGGTACAGTGGCAAGAGAGTATCCAGTATGGCCTGATAAGGAGTTGTTAATAAGGGATACATGAGTGACATTCTCCATCCCAATTTAAGAATACATGGGAGTTGTTTGTGAGCATTTGTTCAGTAAGGGCTGACACACAGCAGTCAATGTGTGATTTTGTGGGAAGTATTGATTGACTGATACTTTGAAGTAAGTGTATTAGAGGGTTTTTTTTTTGTGTGTGTGTGTGTGTGTGTGTGTGATGTAGAAGTTGGTTATCATTGTCTGACAGCTGGTAGTGCAAGTGAGGATGCATGGCTGTAGTGGCTCATGCTGCATTATACCTAGTGTTGTACGTCAGTGCAGGAAGATTCCTGGAGTCTTTGAACCAAGCAGTAACTGTGTGTCCTTGTCAGGAGGACAAGTGTCCAACAGGGCCTGATACCTTTCCCCAGGTCTTAGTACATTGTGGTTGGAGGCATGTCTAGCATGGTCTAGAATCTAGCATTGTGTGTGGGACAGCAGAAGGGGAGTTGAATATCTAGTCCTAATACCTAGAGAACTCTGTGGTGAGTGTGGGTGAGGGGCGTCCTTCATGTCCTTACACTGTATGTCCGTTGTTAACAAGGGGAGGGGCATGGATAACACATGTGAGTATCTAGGGGTCAGCCCTGCTGCTTTCCCCAGCTGACTGGACCATCCACACAGTGCTGTTAACAGATCAGCTGGAGAGCTCATCTCCATCCCAACAATGGGATAGGTTTCAGCTCTCCTCACACCACACAGCACACACTACACCTCCACCTCCTCACAGCCACACAACATTCACTGTCAGAGATTTCTTGTCTGCCGGGGTGTGTCAGGGGCCAGGCTCTCTCTAGACGTCCTGGGGAGTGTCTGTTCCAGCCATGCTCCAGCCTCTGTATTTCATGTCTGGTGGCAGCAGGCATCCTGAGTCCACAGTTCATCTTCTCCGGGTTATTTCTGATTCTCCTTTTTATAAGGCAGGAAATCATGTAGTCCTCTTCTATAAGTTTATGTGAACATTACAGTGTTTGGATTTGGTGTCAGCTGAAATGGTGGCTGTGTTCAGTTTTTCAAAGGGTTCCCTATTGTTTGATTTTAAATCTTCCTCTGCAGTCATTTGTGGACAAGCCATTCTCTCTGCCTTGATTTTCATGGGTGACTATGAGAAAATCAGCCTGCAGGATCTCACTGGGTGTGTTTCTGAGCTTTCTGTTCTGTTCCATGTATCCAGTCTCCATTACTTCCCTTTGGATCTCTGAGGCTTGGTGTATAGTCCTGGAAGAAGAAGATCGGGGTCTGGAGGGATCTCTCCTGTTCTCTGCCATGTCTTCTAGGTTTCAGTCCCTTTGCTTTTTACATCTTGTGACTGAGCATCAGATTGGGTTTTGCTGAGTCTATAGATGAAGTGCAAACATCTGTCCCCTTTAGAATAACAACTGGTAGAACCTGAGAGCTCATATAGCTTTGGATTTCTCTCATCCAGGAAGGAGTCAAAGCATTCTGAATTTCAAGTTATCGAAGTTATGTTGGAATTCTAATTAAATACTTCAGTAATTTGTTTAAAAACTGTCTCTGCCTAATACCAGTGAGAAATGGGCCAAATATATGACCTCAAGTTCTGCCTCTCTTTGTTAATGGAGGCCTGGGACAGATGATCCATGGATACTGCCCTTCTCTGGAGATCCATTCTTGAATTCAGAAAGAGAAGCACATTTAATTTCCAAGGCTCTTCTGAGATATTTCTTTACCTGCTCAGGCAGGTTTCCTGGGTTATCTGTGAGGACAGAGAGGCATAGGTGACTTTCTGAACTGTTAAAATGCCAAGGGGTCTAAGTTGGACAGGATTCAACAGTAAGTACCCACTGGGAGGCTTCCACAGGGGGACGCACCTGTAGATTGCCCAGATCTTGTTGGTAATTTGGGGGTGGTTGTCTGTAGTTGGATGGTGGAAGAGAAACCATGTCATTGTCCTCCACAGCATGTCCTCCTGTTGCTGTGTGCAGCTTCTGAGTTCCTCTGGAGCTCAGACAGTGCATGCTAGTCTGCTAGGAAGGGGAGGGGAGAGGCGCTCTTTTCCCTCCATGTCACTAATGTTTAGTGTGCACATACTCAGGTCAGGAATTTTCAGCGTCCATGATTCAAGATATGGCCAGGCACCTAGAAGAAAAAGCTTATGTTAGATAATGGATGAGGCTGGCAGAAAGATTCCTTCACCACCCTAGACCTGTTTTATTCAGATAATAGCTGGTTTATTTCTGGTGGAATTCAGGAACTAATGAGGCAGGAATAATGACCCTTTTCTTCCCATGTGCCTTCCTGAGGGAGAATTCAATGGGGTCTCCTTGGGAAGCCCTGATTGGAGGGATTGTTTGTCTTAGCTGCTCTGCTACTGTCCCATAAACAGGCTCTAGGATCAAGAAGGAAAAGCAGTTTCCACCAACATGTCTGTTTCTAGACGCTGTGCTTCCTGCACCCAGTTCACTGAACACTTGCCTAGATGAGACAGGATGCACATATGGTGAAGATGAGGTTTGTCTCAACATGTCCAAAAGAAGCTGCAGATCTGAGGAGAAAAGGATGGTCAAAGGAGTTGACCTCTGAGACTACAAGAGACCCACGCTGCTACCACACGAGTCATCCTATCTGTGTCAATGACCTGGGAGGAATTTAAAGAGTCCCAACCAGTCAGGCTCTGTCCAAAAGAGCAAGCTATCCAGCATCACTGGGACTCACATTTCTCCACTGTGAGGAGAGTATTACTGAGCAAATTTAGAGTAGTATATATAAATATCTTGGTACAATGGCATGTATTGTCTGTGCCTTTTCCTGCTGCCCCACAGGCAGGCAGTGGGGGAAGGATGGTGTTCAGTGTTTGAAACTCATCATAAGCTGACGTCTCTCATGTCACAGTCTAAAGGCCACCACATGCTCCCAATAGTGGCCAGAGATATAAAAAGTTCACATTATACTTACCTGGCCACTTGGACATTAACTCTGGTTCTTAATAGTCACAATCTTAGATACCACTCCCAGGGCTTGGAGTCCTTGTCCAGAAGTGCTGTATCCTGAGAGTTTCCATGCCTAGCTACAGTACCCAAGACTCCTTTCTACAGACCCTGGTTTCAGTTAAGTGCATCAGGGTGAAGCCTGCCTCAGTGGTCACTCACTGACCAGCAGACAAGCCATGATCTTGAGGAGCAAGCAGGTCATTGTCTTGGATAGTTTCTCTTGCTTGGTTGTATGAATTCCCATGCCCCAATCTCTGGAACCCAACACAGACTAAGTCACTGGCCAGTGACAAAATGGATGTCACAACCTACAGGTATGAGAAGATGTTCCCATCTTTGATTCAAAGTGTTCCTTCTCAATGGTGTTAGGATCAGAAGGGAGAGATATGTCACCTACACCAAGTCATCTCAATATCCCTCTGTAGCCATGCCTCAGCTTACTCTCTCTGTCTCTCTCTCTCTATTTCTCTCTCTCTCTCTCTCTCTGTCTCTCTCTCTCTCTCTGTCTCTCTCTCTGTCTCTCTCTCTCTCTTTCTCTCCTCCTCTGTAATACAACCTATGTGACCACCTACCATTGGGATTGAGGCAGACCTGCCTGAGCAGACTCATGCTTCCTAACTTCTAAGCCAGAGTCAAGTTTAGACCTGAAACCAAAAACGAATCATCTGCTACAGATGGTTATATAGTGGTCTCAGTGATGCTTTCAGCCATGTAATGCCCACAGGTGAGCCTTGGCATTCATCCACATCAGAATGGCCATCCTTCACTACGTGGAGAGGCTGGCTGCCTGTCACGTGCACCTGACAACACTTTAGACAATTATCCCAGCAGGACAAGCAAGCAGTCAGCCTAGCTGAAAACCCTAGCTCTATGGTCAACAAGACTGTCTAGGCCTGACCACTGTACCCAGTGGGACCTGGGTACAAAGTAGTTTTAAGAGTGCTGACCCCACCTCTGACCACTGTGCCCTAGGCTAGGTAAGGCCTACTCACTTCCAAAGTGGAGCAATGTCCCAGCATTCCATCTGAAGTGGTACCCATTTTCCTCTAGCTTGCTGTCATTTTCCTGTTAGGAGACAAATATGGTTCTGATGAAACTCCCTACAGTGAGGCCCCTTCACAAGCACGTAAACTAGGCCAGCATGCAGTGGGACTGTGTCTTTTCTGATGGGCAGGACACAGGGATAAATGAAGGCTGCAAATACAACAGCAGGGAAGGAGGGAGAGGAAGAAGAGGGAGGAGAGGAAGGAGAGGAAGGAGGGAACGGAGAGGGAGGAGAGGAAGGAGAGGGAGGAGGTAAAGGAGAGGGAAGAGAGGAAGGAGAGGAAGGAGAGGGAGGAGCTGGCTTTCCCTCATGTGGGGAAACATTTCACTAGGACCAGACACCTGAAGTGTGGACAGATTAATGAGTACTGCTAGACATTCCCCTGCAGACTGGTCCATGGGTTCTTGTCATGGGTAACTTGTACCTGCTATTGGCTCATGGCCCCCTCAGACAAGGATGCTGTGAAACACCAGCCCTGGATCCTTGATAACTAAGGTTTCCTGGAGAGAATCCTGTAGTAGCTGGCTTACCTCCTCCTGTGCTGGAAAGAGACCCTTCATGCTGGGGAAGTGGGCACATTGCCATCTGGACTTCCTGCAGAGCTCCAACTTCTGCTTTCTCAGGCCACACCTCAAATTGCCCCCGTGTGTCTCCTGATGTAGAGAGCTCATCCCTTTAAAGAGGAAGGACATGTGAAAGGGACTCTAGGGGAACTTGAAATATGCAGCACTTAAGCTAGACCTACTGTGCATCCCTCTCCCCATGGCTCCTCCCCTCTCTCTCCTCCATCCTCTCCAAATTTCTCCCTTAGCCAATTCTTTCCTGCTGCCTCTGCAATGTCTGGTTCTCATCATCTCCTCTCCATCTCCGGATCAACCATGTCACTTTATTTAGAAGCGAGTTTGGACTGTGGCACTGGTGATTTTGAAGTCAGAGTTTTAAATTTGCATGCCCATGCAGTGAAAGAAGTTAATGTGCCAACTGCAAAGGACAGACGACAGTATCAAATACAAAATTAGTGTAGTAGGAACCCGAGGCCTGGAACTGACCAGTGACTCTGCAATGAGCACTGACAAGTGAAGATATGTGGACACAGGGGTTCACAGTGTCACTGCAGCTTCCACAAGGAGATCTTTAAGTCTCCACTATTATTTTATCTTATTTTCCTTTTTATTCTCTTAAATTTTGTTTGATTGGGGCAGTTGTAGGAGTGGAGGGCAGGTGTGAAGTGATGGGTATATGAATGTGATCAAGATACTGACATAAAAAACATAGAATGAGCCGGGCGGTGGTGGCGCACGCCTTTAATCCCAGCACTCGGGAGGCAGAGCCAGGCGGATCTCTGTGAGTTTGAGGCCAGCCTGGACTACCAAGTGAGTTCCGGGAAAGGCGCAAAGCTACACAGAGAAACCCTGTCTCGAAAAACCAAAAAAAAAAAAAAAAAAAACATAGAATGAATATATAAATGAATAAATAACTCAGTAGAGAGATAAATAAATAGATGGAATAAATACATGAAGAGCATACTGGGCAAAGAGCACATACCTGAGTGAATGAAATTTAGACATTTTTCAGAAAATAGATACTATTGCTGATGATTGTGTTATGTGTGACAATCATGTCCCAAAAGACAAGGATCCCTGTTTTCTTTCATATGCAAAATATTCAGGTCATAGGAGCCAGAACATGAAAAACAGAACACTAAATACATGGAATAGTACAGTGCTCTTCCTGGGATGGTCCACAATGTTCTTGGGAGGGGCTGATCACCTCTAACTGTCTAGAGTGGACTGTACAGAGTCCCAGTTGGTTTAGAATCCAGAATCCTGTGGCCCTGGCTCCCCATTAGCCAGAAAGTATGAACAAAGTTCAGTGGCATAAAGCAAGGAACCCAAAGTGGTTTTTACAAGTAACAAAAGCACTGTGGGATCCATGAGCAAGAGTAGCCATGGAAGTCAGCAGACAAGCAGACAGTATCTGGGTGTCAGATGAGTAGAACTGGAAACTGCTATCTAGAACATATGGCTTCATGCAATGCCTCTGCCACTGGTGTCCTTTAGTGAGAGCCCGGCCATCCACATCCCAAGACAGGCACCAGCTGTCTCAGTGACCCACCTTGAGTCCTCAGCTGTGATCTCAAGGCTCAAATGGAAAGAACTCAATCAATCAGACCAGGTAGCCAATCTGGACTCTCCTGATTGGTCAGGTTGAAGTCATGGGATGTGTGCCTGGTGGGGATCCTGGGAAAGGGTTAGAGAGCAGCCTTTGCATGCTCTGTGCCTTGTTCCCAAGGATGTGTCAGCTAGTGCATACCTCCTCCAGCCCACTGACCAGGGTCCCCAGGAGAATTCATGACAGCAGTTCTCACCTCCAGGTATCTGTTCACTGGTGGACATTGACTTCTATTCTGAAGGGCAGATTCGTTCTTTGCTGCTGTTTGTAGTCCATCCTGGATGACAGAACCTTCAGTTCAATTCCTGACCCTGTTGAGATGAAAGAAGCACAGAACTTGTCTCCTTTCCCTCAAATGTTTGAGGAATTTACCATTGATGCTATACATACAGTACATAAAGCTAGACATGGGAGAACACATCTGTAATCACAGCACTCAGGAGACAGAGAGGGGGTCAATCTCTGTGAGGCTGAGAGCTGCATGTTCTACACAGAGTGTCTCAGGATAGACAGGGCTATATTGAGATCCAGTCTCAAAAAAAGTAAACTATCAAATGAGGATTCAGGAAATTTCCCTATCTCATATCTAGAATTCAACAGACTCCTCAACCATTTCTCAGCCCTGCCTTCACTGATATGCAGCAGAAACCCAGCCTGACACCAGGTGATACCCACAAGCTGAAAATTTCTCTCTCTTCCTGAACAAACTGACTGATCTTCTGTGCACATGGGACTCACCAGATGGTCAGGGTTCTAGAAGTAAGAGACAGCACAAGCTGGCTGTCAGTCACTGGGAAGAAATCTGGCAAGAGCATTTAGTTTGCCTCAGTGTTTGCTAACAGGCCAGGGTCAGATGGTCAGAATGAAGATGTACAGGCCAACTGTAACAGAGAAGATAGTTCCTCCCTTGTCACACCTCTGCAGTCTCTCAGTCTCCCATTGCTGTTAGGTTGAGCAAGTCAGTGATAACTTTCCCTCTGTGACAGGGAGGCTGGCACATGCTACTTCATGGGATCCTTTTCTTCATGAAATCAAGACCAGGCTTCAGAGACTCATCTTCTACCACACACAGATACTTACTGTACTCAACCTTACCTTCAGGTGCCTGATTCACACAGATTAGGGCCCTGGATTCCCTGTCGAGTTCATTTCCCCTTGTAAATCAGTGAGCTGCTCCCTACCTGGAAGGTGACCTGGAAACCAGTTCAGACACTACACTCACCAGTGCTTCACACAGCACCAGGGGCTGTCATCAAGAGATCCATGATGATCAAGGTTTCCTTGTCAGACTGACCCCAGTGGTGGGCATTGGTCATAGGGAATTCCCATGGCTGCTGTTCTTGTAGAGGCCATACTCAGTCAGGATCGGCCTGGCAATGCCTACTTACCTTCCCACACTGGGACAGAACAATGTTAATGTAAGGTCAATGTCAGTTATAAATCCCTCCATGAGATGGAAAAATGATGCAAGTTTCTTGGATCAGCAGGTGGGGGGGGGGGGGAACATCGGAAGCCTGAATGGAGAAGGCTATGGAGACAAAGACATAGATGTCATCAGATCTGCCAAAGGACATGTCAGACAGGAGCAGGAGAGGACTCCACTGCAGGATCGAGCCACCCTTCTCTTCTGCCAGACCCTTCTTCAGTAGCCCAGAATGGAAGTCCCTTTCCAAAGCAGCCTCATACTTCACTACATTGACGTATGCCAGGAACCATCAGAACAGGGTCCATTCCTCCTCAAGGCTGGCAATACACCCAAGGTCACACTCTGCTCTGTTTGAGACATTTGTTCCTGGACTCACTTTTTCAGACCCTTAACCCAGCAAAACCTCCTTTTCTCCACTCATTGCAGGTAAGCTCTTCTGGACAGACTCTACCCTCTCTCCAGGTCCTCTCATTTCCTCTTCATCCTCTCCACCTCCTTTCCCCTGTTTCACCCCTTATCTCCATCCCTCTGTCTCCCACTGGATTTACAGTTCCTGCATCTTCTAAAAGACTGTCAGAAAGCAGTTTGGAGGTGATGAAGTGATCAAAGATGAGGGAAGCCTGAGACCCGTGTCCCAGTCTTTCCTGTTGACAGAGGCAGCCCTTGTAGATGCCGGGGAACCCTGGTTCTACAGGAACCATGAGGGATGTAGACATTCATTGGGTCGATGCTACACGTGACTACTTAGTGATGTTCAACAACAGTGCAGGGGCAGCAGTGAGGTGAAGGATGGGGAAGATGGCAGCTGAGACCCTACACCTGGAGGATGGATACTGGAACCTGTAGCCCTAACGTGTCATCACACAGGACACAGAGTTCCAGCCTGGATCCTTCCTGCTGCACCACACCACACCAAGACTGTAGTTCAAGTAGACCATTTCACTTTCCCCAATAAAACCCAAAAGAATAAGGAAAGTGCCTCTCTTAGTGACTTTAACAGACAGGACTTACTCAGCACTGAGGAGGACGGGAATCTACTGACCAATAGTGCTGCACTTTTCTCCTGCTACACCCCAGATCTGTAGGAAAGAACAGGATGTTATTTACAAGAAAACATCCTACCTGTGTGCCTTGACACATGATAGGAACCATCGGAGCAGGCCCTCTCCTCCTCATTGCTGGCTGTCCCTAGCTCCCTCCCACTCTGCACTTCAGGGCAGGTTCGTTCCTGCTGTAGACTGTGCACGGCCCCTGTGGCAGCTCAGCACACACATCTCTTTCATGCTACTTTGTTGACAGGAAGTTCCTCAGAACAGACTCTACTCCTTAGTTTACACCAACTCTCATGTCCCATGTTCCTGTCTCGAAACTGTTTTTCAATTCGTCCCCATTATTTCCTTCACCCACCTCCATTCTCCAGAGGACTTACACAGGTCTTGCTGTTCTTTCCAAAAGGCAGTCACAGAGTAAGTTGAGGGTTAAAGTGACCAAGATGATGAGCAGCTGAGATTGGTATAATCATCATTCCCGATGGTAGAGGCTGCTGTTTTCCATGCAGTGTGAGTGGTCCTACAAGCACAACCAAAGCTAGGAAGGGAGAGGGTCTTGGGGTCCATGTGCCTTACGACCCCGCATTGTTCCACAACAGTTCTGAAGCTGGATTAAGCTCAAAAAGATGCAGAATGGCAGCTCAGACCCAATCGCTGGAGGCAGGAGCCTGTTGCCCTGGATTGGAAGGAGCTGGCAATCTGGAGATCAGTTCTGACTCACTTCTGTGGCACTCACTCCTCACCAGGTCTGGAATTCTATTGGTTCATTTCAGTTTCCACACTTCAAAGAAGAAAGAAACATGAAAGCACCTCTATTAGTGACTTTGGCAGATGAAAGTTCTGTGCCATATTTCTCTTCCCGATTCCTCCATTCTGACCCTTTGCCCCATTTAGCCAAACTCTCCTCCCTTCCTTCCCACCCTGTGGACCCCATGCTATGCTATCTGCTTTTCCCTCAACCTTTCAGGACTTTACATGAACAGGAAGCTGTGAATTTGCCATCTAATGTCCCACATATCTGAAATTCTGGGCCCTCTGAGTGGGTACAACTTTTCATTTCAAAAGGATATTGAAATAGTATATTGAATAGACAATGTAGGAATTGATCTGTGTGGCCAAACCTACTGTTCTCCATGTAGTTCTCCACTGACCTCTCTTTTCCTTGAACCTCTGACGCAAGGGTTCAGGGCTCACCTTGGGGTGGGCAGGCAGCAGCAGCAGCTGCAGCAGCAGCAGCAGCACAGTGCTCTCAGGGCCTGGGAAATTTGCTTCCTCACCAGTTTCCAGACCCTGAATGGCCTGGATCCAGATGTTGTGGGTGCCACCTGGGGCTGGTCACTGGGAATGTCTGACTCTTGGGATGAATCTTCTTCAGAGAAGTCCAGGTTCAGAAATCCTGTGGGTGTTTCATCCAAGACAACAGAATTCCTGTTGACTGCAATGTCCTCTGTAGCAGTGTTGATGACTTCAGCCATAAGAGCATCTCTTTCTGGGACTGTGTTGTCTGAACAGGGCAGATCGTCCGGGAGGGAGTATGTGTGGGGCATGGTGTAGCTTCTACATCTTTTGTGTCTTTCTTCCACACCCTCCTCCTTAAAGTGAATCTTGCCAGCTTGTGTACTGGTTGTAAACGCTGGTTCACTGGCTCTCCTGGTCAAGGGGAGAGGGAGGCAAACAGGACCTGCAGGGCTGCTAGTTAGCCAGGGCATCTGATCTTGAAGATGGCTGTCCCCACAACTCAGCTGATATTTGAGAATGTTGCACGTAGCCATTACATGATTATCTTCTCGCCTGTGAGTTAGGGATGACACAATCTCCTCACAGGTATAGCCGATGGTGCACATAATCTCCACGACCCTGGGCAGGATTTCTTTGGTGGCAGGCAGTACATTTTCTTGAATGGGGCCCAGCCATGATCGTTCCACAAGCTGAGAGATTGTATATTGGTACCAGGTGGGGACCGTGAGTAGTTGGGCAATGATGATGTGACAGGGTTTTGACAGATGGTAGGGAATGGGACACATTGTGGTGGTGATGACCCTGTGCATACCATCAAGGGTTTCTTCCATGTATGGAAAGTGCTCTGTGACCAGGACATATAGAACGATACCCAAGCTCCACATATCACCTGCCAGTCCATCATAGGGTTTTCTTGCCAAGATCTCTGGGGCCCAATAGAGCAAGGAGCCACAGATCTCCTGCAACATCTGCCCCTCTGTGATTTCAATCGCCATCCCAAAGTCACAAAGCTTTGCATTTCCTGCTGCATCGACTAGGATGTTTTCCAATTTAATATCACGGTGTGCGATGTGTCTCTGGTGGAGGAAGTGAACCGCTGACACCACCTGCCGGAAAATCCCTCTAGCCTCCTCCTCCTTTAGACAGCCCAGTGCCCTGAGGCAGCTCTCCAGATCTTCTCCTGCCACATACTCCATAATCACGTAAGTGGTTGACAGTGTGTCGATCATGTCAAAAAGTCGAACGATGTTCCTGTGTTCCAGAGACTGAAGGATGTTCACTTGAGTGCTGATGTCAGCCACACTGTTGGTGTTTTTCTCAAGAACCTTGACAGCCACTTGTGTATGTGTGGGAAGGTGGCAGGCCAGATTCGCCCCCCTGAATGAACCACACCATAGAGATGTTAACATCCTGAAATCCTTTTCAAGAATTTCCTCTTCTATTTGGCTGTCCATGGTGTTCTGCTCAATTTCAACCACTTTATCTTGTGGGAAATTTCAGACCCACACAATGCTAAAAGAAAAAGTTTAATGCAGTTTTAGAAGGGGAGGACATATCTTGGGATTCTCTGTTATGAAATCTGATATATCCCAAACAATCTAATGATGCTCTTCAAGGATATAAAAGTACTAGAAGAACCAAAACCCAAGACAGCGGATGAGGAATCATAGGAAAGATCAGATTTGGTAGAAGTAAAGTTGGCATGCAAAGAAAAATCCTGAGATTCCTGAAAGAATGAGCTGCTTCTGTGCAAGGATGTGCCACAATGCAAACCCCTTCACAAAGCTGATCAAGAGAGCTCAGATAAAATTACACTATAGAAAAGTTGATGTTGTAACTGATACAACTACAGTCCAGAAGCTCTTTCAGGGATGTTACAGCTTTTAAACTCCAGAAAATTTTAAAATATGAAAGGAATTCCTAGACATGTATGAATATTGAGTTAAGACAAAATAAAAAACATTTAAACACATAAGTCATAAGCAACCAGTTTGGACTGGCGACAAAAACAGCTCCAAACAAGGCAGAGCCCAGATTTCATGGATTCCTTGAATCATTCGAAGCTTTGCAGAAGAATGAAGACCAGGGTTATAGAAAATAATTCAAGAAAGAGAAAGCTAAGAACACATCCAAACTCATCCCTGTGCCAGTGTTAGCCTGATCCCACAACCAAGCAAGCTCAATAAAAGGAGCGAGTGTGAGCTCCTTTCCTTGATGAACATAGATGTGAAGATCATTCATCAGAGTCCCTGATACTTCACCTCCATCTCAGCAACACACTAAAGAGCCCTTTGTTCACAGTCCCAATGACAGAAGTAACATTTGTAACAAATGGAACAACAGCATAGCACATAAGGAGACTGTGGGAAGAATCCACACTCAGCACAGTGGCTAGAGAACTGTTGTGTTCTAAGGAAAGTAGCTCAACTAGATAGAGTTTTACAGGAGACAAGGCAGGTCCACAAACAGAAACAGGATCTACTTTGTCTCTCCTGCTCATGAGGAAGGAGAGGGCTAGGCTTGTGTAAAAGTCACAGGATCAGTCACAAAGATATGGTGGGGGACGGACATAGTGCAGGGGAATATGATCAAGTACAGTGTAGGCCTGTATGGAAATGTATCATGCAATTGCTTATGGGAATGTGTATAAAAATATAAAAAATATCCTGAGATAACCCAGACTCAGAAGCATAAACATGGTATGTATTCACTCACAAGTGGATACTAGATGTAAAGCAAAGGATAACCAGATTACAACCCACAGCTCCAGAGAAGCTAGCTAACAATGAAGACGCCAAGAGAGACACATAGATAGCCAAGCGAAGGAGAAATAGATGAGATCTACATGAGCAAACTGGGGTGAGATGGGGTAATGGAGGGCAAGGAATGGAGGATGAGAACATAAGGGAATGGGGAGGTTTGAGCTGGAAAAAGGACAGAGTGGGAGAGCAAGGAAAGAGATACCATGATGAATGAAGACATCATTGGACTAGAGAGAAACAGGTTGCTAGGGAAGTTCTCAGGAATCCACAAGGATGACCGCATCTTAGACTATTAGCAATAGTCCAGAGGGTGCCTGAACTGGCCTACTCCAGTAATCAGAACAGTGAATACCCTAACTGTCATCATAGAGCCTCCATCCCGTAACTGATGGAAGCAGATGCAGAGATCCATGTCTGATTGGGCCAAGCTCTATAAGCAAGGGGCATTGAGATCATGATGGGATAAAGTACAGAGACAACTAGCCAAACTAGTGGAAACACATGAACTGTGGACTGATAGCTGAAGAGCCCCCATGGGACTGGACTAAGCCCTCTGGATAGGCGAGACAGTTGCTTAACTTGAACTGGCTAGGGGCCCCCAAGGCAGTAGGATCGGGATCCATGCCTGGTGCATAAGCAGGCTTTTTGGAACTCAGTGCCTATGGTGGGACACTTTGTGCAGACTTAGTGCAAGGGGGAGGGGCTTGGACCTGCCTCAATGAATGTACCAGGCTCTGCTGACTCCCCATGGGAATCCTTGCCTTGGAGGAGGTGGGAATGTGGGGTGGGTTGGGAGGAAGGCTCAGGGGTGGGAGGAGGGAGGACGGGGGAGTCTGTGGTTGGTATGTAAAAAGAAAACATTTTAATAATAAAAATAAAATGAAATTCTCAAAGAACAAAAAATTAAATGTTTCTTCTAAAGTATTTACACATAAAAAAAAGAAAAAACCAAAGTTTCAATATAATCTAACTGCATCTCGTTCTTCCATGTTCAGGTGCTCTCCCTTGGAGTCTGCTCTTTTCTCAAGGAAACAGAGGAGCAGTGGATCTGGTGGAGAGAAGAGCTGAGGGCCAACTGGGAGGAGTGGAGGGAGGGGAGGATGCAGTCAGGATGGACTGTATGAAAGAAGAATACATACAAAGAAAAAGTGAAAAGCATAAATATAAATATGAAACAGCAAATCTAAATCCCAGGAGCCAAAACCAACAAAGTGGAAATCAACTTGTCCAATCTCAACAACTAGCAGCAATGATCTGCAGTATTTCAGTAGTCCATAAAACTGAGGAAAGGCATACTTTCAAGCACATTTCATAAAAGAAGTATTACCCTAATTTTCAAACCATGTAAGACATTTCAAAAAGATTCTAGTATCTAGCAATATCCGTGACTGACAGATTGGAAAAACCTGAATGAGAATAATTGATAGCTCACCTCAAATTCAACACCACATTAATAAGACCAGACTTCATGAGCAAGACGTCTTTAACAAGGAACACTCAAGATTCATCCACAGAAACAAATTGCCAAAGGGCACAGCATACACACCACACTGAGGTAAGTCCTAAATCAGACATCAGTGGAATAGAATGCTTAATTCATGAAGAAACTTGGAATTAGTGAAAGTGTTACTACAAACATGCCAGTTCCACAAACACAGGTGTCACATTTTGTTCACTGCAGGTCATGAACAGGCAGGGGGATTGCCTTTGTATAATGGGTCCAATTCAATGGGACTTGTCCCATTGACCAATTACTTGTCCAATTCAATGGGTCGGGAAGTAAAATATAGCAGATAAATATGATCAAAGTAGAGTACAGCCAGATATCAGTCATGATCAAATTCCTCATCCTATGTATTTACTACATAACATTAAATTTGTAAAATACACAAGAACACAGCAAAAATGACCAAAGAAAAGAAGTTGATAGAAGGAAAATCAGTTGAAATGAAGAAAAAGGAATTACAGGGAAAAAATACTACCCAAACCAATAATGTAAATAAAGAAATAATTAAATACAATTGACAAAATCCCAAACTGAGAACTTGGGAAACAAACTCACTATGTCCACATCCAATAGGTCAGGGAAAAGGTCAAGTGTATGGAAACAAAAGAGTCCAACTGCTCTCCCACCAACCAACGGATTTTTCCAAAGTACAGACAAAACCCAGTCTCAGGCAGTGCTTTTTTTATTGGCTAGTATCTAGCATACCTCACAAAGATTCCATGTGATGTCACATGCTATGGACCAATCAAGGCTCAGAAAAAAACACAGTGATTTTTTAAAATTATTTTCAGTTAAATTATTAATTTTTTTTCCGTTCATGTTCTTGTCCCCAAGGACAAATGCCCTTAGCAGAGAGGGCTGCTATGCATCGCAACCCCACTCCTGTTACTTCCCCAGAAGCCAAGATAGATTCATTGCTGTCACACAGACAGTCACACATTGAACATATCTCTCCCTTCCACCCTGTGAATATAATCAATGAGCTCTTCAAGTAGCCTAAATTCCAGATCCCATCCTCTGTCATGTAACACAAGTCTCATATTAACCAAGCCTGCTTCTTGATGTTGAAGCAACTCCTTTCCCCTCAGATACCATGAAGTTAATGGAGACACACTTTGTCTGGTGGGAATAAAACTCCTCCAGACACCCACAGAGTGTCCAGACCATCTTTACTAATGCCCTTTTGTCTTCAAGGAAGATCTGTCCATGCATTACTGTCCTTCTGTAAGCTCTGTCCATTCCCTCCTTCCCCTGATAAAAAATAAAAATACGCCCATCTTGCTCCGGACTTCCCTTTTGCAACACTGGTGAGTGCCCTTCCTTGCCCCAGACCCCATCCCTGGGCACCAGCCACTCCAGGGAAGACCTGCCCAACTTGGCCCCAGGTTCTGGCCACCTGGCAGGTTCCCTGCTAGCCCCACTGGGAAGGATCCCCTTCTCCAAGACCCCTGGCAGACCCTGCAGTCTCCACGCCCTGCCCCCACGCCCATCCTCCTGAGCCCCAAGCCTCTTCCTGAGACTTAGAGGCCGGCCCCCAGCTCCCATCTTGCTCCAGACTTCCCTTTTGGAACACTGGTCTGTCTGAACCAAGTGTGCGGATAAGGCCAAGAACGAACCACAAGGAGATGGGCAGACGTCAAGGCAGAAACATAGACAACAAAATGAATAGCAATACAGCATCACCAGGCCCTAGCCCTCCTCCAACACCTAGACCTGAACATCAGAAATTGGAAGAAGCAGAAGAAAACAGCCTTATGAATGACATCATGAAGAAGCTAGAGGCTTGTGTAGAGGAAAAGACAAAAAAATGTGAAGAACGCTGTAAACAACTAGAGGAAAGGGCAAACAAATTAGAAGAAATCAATAAAGTCCTGGAAGAAAACAATAAAATACTGAGAGAAAATCAAGAAAAGTCAATGAAACAAATGAAGGAAACAGTCCAAGACCTGAAAAGGGAAATAGAAAAAATGAAGAAGACACAAACAGAGGGAATGCTGGAAATAGAAAATCTGAGAAAACAATTGGGAACTTCAGATGCAAGTATAATCAACAGAATGCAAGAGATGGAAGAGAGGATCTCTAGCGTTGAAGATACAGTAGAAGAAACACATTCATCAGTCAAAGAAAACACTAAAGCCAACAAAGTCATGAACCAAAATGTCCAAGAAATTTGGGACACCATGAAAAGACCAAACCTAAGAATAATAGGGGTCGAAGAAGGAGAAGAATACCAACTCAAGGGCACAGAAAATATATTCAACAAGATCATAGAAGAAAACTTTCCCAACTTAAAGAAGGAAATGCCTATGAAGATACAAGAAGCTTATAGAACACCAAACAGACTAGACCCCCCAAAAAAGTCCCCTCGCCACATAATAGTTAAACAACTAAATGTACAGAATAAAGAAAGAATATTAAGAGCAGCAAAGGAAAAAGGCCAAGTGACATATAAAGGCAAACCCATCAGAATAACACCCGATTTCTCAATGGAGACTTTGAAAGCCAGAAGAACCTGGACAGATGTAATGCAGACACTAAGAGACCATGGATGTCAGCCTAGACTAATATACCCAGCAAAACTTTCAATCACCATAGATGGAGTGAACAAGACATTCCATGACAAAGCCAGATTTAAACAATATTTATCCACAAACCCAGCCCTACAGAAAGCACTAGAAGGAAAATTCCAACCTAAGGAAGTCAGATACACCCTCGAAAACACAGGCAACAGATAAAGCCATAGCAGTAAACCCCAATGTATAGAAGTACCCACACATCACCACCAAAAAATAACAGGAATGAACAATCACTGGTCATTAATTTCCCTCAATATCAATGGACTTAATTCACCTATAAAAAGACATAGGCTTACAGAATGGATACGAAAGCAGGACCCATCTTTCTGCTGCATACAAGAAACACATCTCAAATTCAAAGATAGACACTACCTAAAAATAAAAGGCTGGGAAAAGACTTTCCAATCAAACGGTCTTAAGAAACAAGCGGGTGTAGCCATCCTGATATCCAGCAAAATAGACTTCAAACTAAAATCAATCAAAAGAGATCAAGAAGGGCATTACATACTCATCACAGGAAAGATCCACCAAGATGAAGTCTCAATTCTGAATATTTATGCCCCAAACACAAGGGCACCCACATATGTAAAAGAAACATTACTAAAGCTTAAATCACATATAAAACCCCACACATTAATAGTGGGAGACCTCAACACCCCACTTTCACCACTGGACAGATCTCCCAAATTGAAACTTAACAGAGAAATAAAGGACTTAACTGATGTCATGACTCAAATGGACTTAATTGATATCTACAGAACATTCCATCCTAACAAAAAAGAATATACCTTCTTCTCAGCACCCCATGGAACCTTCTCTAAAATTGACCACATACTTGGCCACAAAACAAATCTAAACAGATACAAAACAATTGGAATAACCTCCTGTGTTCTATCAGACCACCATGGTCTAAAGTTGGATTTCAACAACAACAAAAACTACAGAAAACCTGCAATCTCATGGAAACTGAATAATACCCAACTGAATCACCAATGGGTTAAGGAAGAAATAAAGAAAGAAATTAAAGACTTCCTAGAGATCAATGAAAATGAAGACACCACATATCCAAATTTATGGGACACTATGAAAGCAGCACTAAGAGGGAAATTCATAGCACTAAATGCCCACATAAATAAGTTGGAGAAATCTCACACTAGAGACTTAACAGCATACCTGAAAGCTCTAGAACAAGAAGAAGCGCAGTCTCCCAGGAAAAATAGACGCCAGGAAATTATCAAAGTGAGAGCTGAAATCAATAAAATAGAAACAAAGAGAACAATACAAAAAATTAATGAAACAAAGAGTTGGTTCTTTGAGAAAATCAACAAGATAGACAAGCCCTTATCCAAACTAACCAAAAGACAGAGAGAGAGCATCCAAATCAACAAAATCAGAAATGAAAAGGGGGACATAACAACAGACATTGAGGAAATCCAGAGAATCATCAGGTCATACTTCAAAAACCTCTATTCGACAAAACTGGAAAACCTAAAAGAAATGGATAACTTTCTGGATAGGTACCACATACCTAAGTTAAATCAAGACCAGATAAACTATTTAAATAGTCCAATAACCCCTAACGAAATAGAAACAGTCATTAAAAGTCTCCCAACCAAAAAAA